CGGGTTGCATATAAATTAGCTTCTCAGGAATATTTAGGCTGTGCACGTGACCAGCCGATGCCAGGGCCTTTTCCCGCCCCACCCATTTTTTAAGGGAAAAGCCCTGGGGACGAGGTTGCTTGTTTGCTGTTGTTTTATCCTCGGAGACCCAGGGCCAGTCAGTCAGTCGGGTCGGGAGAAAAGGCGGGACGAAAGGTTTCAAGTACGGGCGAAAAAGCCCCTGGGTACCGACTCTCACCGAACTATTTCCAAAAATTCAAGCGGATGCCGGCTCCTGATTGGGCACCAAAATTGCTTTGTCTTATTGTGCCCAATCGGCGAACAGTTTCTCCTGAGTTCTTTTCTTGAGTTCGTACACGAAGGTTATTGTTTCAATCACGACTTGTGTGGCTCATGCACCAAAGAAATGCACGCAGTCAGGAAACCTTCAGTTTGATATTTGGTACCCAGGGGCTCTTTCGCCCGTACTTCAAAACTTTCGTCGCGCCCTTTCTCCAGACCCGACTGACTGCCCCTAGGTCCCCGAGGATGGCTGTTGTTTACGATAAAATTATTTTTTGTTGTTGTTGTTACTGTTCGTCTTTTGATTCTTTCGTTCGATTTTTGCGAAATTTAATACTCGCGAAATTAAGTGAAAATAAGGTAGTTTATCGGGTTGTTTTTGCCTACAACGTTTTATAGAAACTCGAGACTGCGTGCAAACGGACGCAACAACTTCCAACATTCGAAAGTCTCAAAAATGGAGATAAAGTCTGAAAAAATAGTAAAAAAAAACCTTGAGTTTCTTTTTTTCAAAGCTACAACAAATAGTGTTTTATAAGTCAATTTTTTTTCGTTTTGGTCAAATCTTATTCAATTTCGCCCGTATGTTTTCAGCCTACATGTATCATGAAAAAATCTTTGTTCCTGCGTTTTTTAAGGTCTCTATTGATCACTGACCTATTTGATAACCTTGAGTCTGGAAAAAGAAATTATTGTTTTGAACAAAAGTCTGGAAAAGTCTTGAGTTTATTTCCTGGTATCTGTGCAAAGCATTAACGGTAGTTAAAAAAGGGATCAGCTCGAGATTTTAGGAAGTATGCCACTTAACGATTAACGCCATTTTGAAACATGTTCAGCATGTTGCTAAGCTTTCTCTTTATTTGTCATTTAGGGTTAATCTTTACTACCCCAAAGTAAAGACATTCATGCCAGGTTTATCCGTATAATTTTATCACTTGTTTAACTGTTGATTTCCGAAATTAAGTAATGGTAATAACTGAATCTGATGTTTCGACTATGCCGCCAACGTTATTCTACGATTCCGAATCGACTGGAGTGATTGTGGCAGTAACTCTTATGAGACCACATTCATAGATTCTAGTCGTTAAGAGGAAAATCGAGAGATATAGAGTCGCGTTTACGGCAAACGGCAAACATTAGACCCAAGGTGACATTTCCTCGAATCAGGAAATTAACAGGCACAAACTTTGCACAAGTAATTGTTATGGATTAGACTGATCGACATGAAACTACTAACTTTTTTGTGTAGATACAACAACTGAATCGGCTTCCGAGGAAAACTGAGCAAGGGTGGCACAGTGGTGAGGGCACTTGCCTCCTTTCCCGGGAGGGTGGGGGGGGTGGTTGGTACTCCCTATAATGGCCTTTATGGGGAGGCTCCGACTGAAAGGGGTACCTTTTTCATGCTTCAGGTATATGAAAGGGTAGGTTTGTTGTTGGTTCTCTTCCTTGCCGAGAGCTTTTTCTTTGGGTGTTCCGGTTTTCCCCTCTCTCCAAAAACCAACCTTTCCTAATTCCAAATCGATCCGCAACGCACGGGCACGTTTACGCGAGTTCTTAACAACTTCTAAGAACTCCGTGGAAAAACAAATTACAAATTATAATTTTACTTGTTTATTTTTTAAGACTGATACCTTGGTCACGTAAAATTGACGTTGCCGTTTGACCTGAATAGATTCTAAATCTCTCTGATATTATAGCAAATACTTTTTGTTAAAGAGCAAATAGATAATTAAGGATGAACACGAATTTGTTTTGTCAAATACGCTTTATTTTTAAAAACCTGGTGAGATTACATATATACAGATTACAATCAAACCTCCATGTGCGACCTTCTCGGATACGCGACATGCTGTTCGAACTACTAAAATTAGTTTTCCTACTCAAAGCACTACTGAAAACTGGACCACCAAATCTTTGCATCATACTTAAAGCAAATACTACTCTTCTATACTAACATATATACTAACCTATGCTCAGGCATGAACATTATACAATGAAATAACCTTTACTTTACAACTGGGCTGGTTTGGAGTTAGGACAAATTGGTTTCGCTAGGCTTTTATTTGACTTAATTGAGTCGTCAAACCTTATTTCATAATGCAAGGTTGCAAAACTACTGCTTCTATGTTTACAAAAAGATTCTACTAAACTATAAACCTTGCAATGTTGTTTGCATTGTAATCAAACTTCAATTTGCGATAAAAAATCTCGTTTACATAAAAAGTATTTTTTAGTTGTAGCCTTAGGGACTAATTAAGGAAGTAGGTTTTTTTTAACAAATTACCTAGAAAGACAGGGAAATTAGCTAATCCTGATGTTATTCGTGTCGCAATTACAGTTTTATCATTGTCCGAGCTACCGATGTACACTTTTAGAAAGCTGGTGATTTGTGCTTTTGCAAGACATTTTAGAGATTAGACTGTACTCAAGGTACCTCCTACACACACACACACAAAATAAAATTAGCGGGAAAAATAATTAAGTCGGCAAAGATGAACAGCTGGGCTAACCAAGTCAGTTCTATTTTAATTCTTTTAATTAATGTTCGTATGCTGCAGAGTTGACCCTTTACATTTTCCGCCAGGGATTACCTCATTGGAATTCTGCGGAAGGGCTGTTTCGTTATTCCATGGTGTGTCGTTAGTGTAATACCTGCAACAGTAATGTATAAGAAACATAAAAATTAAAAAAAAAAACACATCTACTCATCACAAAAGACTCCACCTGGGGTAAGTAGCATTTAGGTTCATTTTACATGGAAGAGGGATCCTCCGGCTTTATCGTGACGGAAGAGGTTTCTTATTTAAGTTTATCTCACCGCTAAAATTTTCCAATTATTGGCATAAAGCAGGGTGCACAGTTAAAATAGGTTTGAAACTTCTTGCCTTGATGACCTATGAAATCTCGGTCTTCCCTCTTTGGTGCAAGTTTAGAACCAGTGTACTACTGTAATTCAGTCAGTCTCCGCGAAAAGCCCTCTAACGACGGTCAAGGCTCCATAGACAGTCCATAATTTGTACTTTGCAGTGTTTTCGATCAATTCTGAGATCTAGATCTCCGCCATAATATTTTTGATCCGATTATCTTTATATCAAACAAAAACCTTCCCTGGGCTGTTTGGTTCGGATTCATAACTGGAATTCTCTTCCTATTATATTCAGAAAGAAAAACGTTTGTCAGCAAACCCTCACGATCATATTGAACCGTAGCAAATAAAAGAATATTCAATTACTTGTGCCTTATATATCAGGAAAGAGAGAAAAGAATTAAATCATTCTGTGTTACTGTAGGGATTCGGGGCTTTAGTGTTTTGTTTTGTTTTTTTTTTCACATGCAAAGCCCCGCATATGCACGGGTTGTAATTTAGATTGATAAGTACAGAAGTGTGGTAGAATAATTGCGGTGTTTAGTATCTTCGATGTTAAAAAGCGGTTAATTGATATTTTACCTCAGTCAACTAACCTCAGGTGTAGTCAATAATGTGGCTTTTAAGGGTAAATACTGCTTCCTATTTGGTACTTAAAAGTACCAAATGCACCCAAGTTGATAAAACTGTAATACAAAAAGACCTGGCAGACTTCTTATGGCCCTAATTGTCAGAAAACAATTACCTTCACTTTTCTTCACCAAAGTGAAATGACACATCATCCCCAATCAGCATGAAAGGTGCCCACTGCCTCACTTCTGAGAAACCGTTATTTCGCATCCACTTCATGGCTCGGTGAAGACTTTCGCTTGCACTTTTCCCTTGGACAAGGTTTTCGTTGAATCTTCCCATGAACTCCTCTGTTGCTCTGTCTTGTAAGGCCCACAATGCCACCAACACTGAGCGTGCACCCGATCCTAAGAATGCTCGAGCGATTCCAACAACGCCTTCTGTTTTGATCTGTCCACGTGCGGTATGGCAACAACTAAGGACCACCAGTTTGGCTGACAGTCTAACTTGTGAAATGTCGGTCATTGACAGTAAGTAGTCTGCTTCGTGTGGAAACTCCACTGTGGAGTCAGCGGGGGTAAGAGCAATTTCTCCTCTTTCGGCATCACCATGAGCAGCGAAATGTACGAGGCTCACTGAGGGTATTCTCTGAAGAACAGCCTGCTTTGTTGCTTGCTCTCCTATTAAAAGGTGAGATTCAGGTAGTAGTCTCGCAATCATCTCTGCTTCCCCTTTCGCGCCAGGCAATGGACAGAGATACCTTAACACTCCCTTGAAATACACATCCGTCACTCTTGGCTCACCCACAATCAATGCACCAGTTTCGCTGTGAGAGTCGGCTGGACTGTCCAGAATGAGCTTGAGAGTCGTCAAAGAAGGGACAATTCGTATCCTGAAAGAATCTGATAAATAGCGGCTACTTTCATCGTGTAATGCTGCAAACGGAACTTGGAAGAAGCAGCGATCAGGAACAACAATGATTTCAGATCCTTCTAGCAAGTCACTCACGGGAGCAATCAACATGTTGTAAACCTGAAAAAGTGTTGGCGGTTCAGGGTCCGTGTATACTTCATCCTCATCTAAAAGAGGACGCAAGGTTGAGAGACTATCTTCCAGATTTGATTCGTTTGTAAGTTGGTTGGCGAATGAAGAGAATAGTGATCGGTCTTCGCATTGCTCTTGAGGTAAAACGTGAAATTTTCTTAATAAGCTTTCGTTTCCAAACAGTTCATGTACACAGATTTTGCCATGCTTGCTAACATAGCTTTCACAAAGTTTCGTTCTTCGGAAAGCTACCGGTTTGCTTTGTTTCAAAACCCACAAAAATATATTGTCTTTGTGGTAGGAGATGTAGAGGCAGGTGCTGTTGCCATTTTTCTTAATTACTTCCGCGATGCCAACAAACGATTGTGGGTTGATGGATATTTCTTTTTCAATGGAGTAGCGATTTGACATAAGTTCTGCTAGAGCTCTGGCCCGTCCAAGTTCAGCAGCGTGTAAAGCTTCATAGGGTTTCCCACAAGAACAACTCAATGAACAAAACAGCCGATAGGGAGACGCGTTCGTGTCAAAAAATGATATATTGTGGCTATCTTTGCTTCCTAGAGAAGTAAGTATTTTTTCGTAAATTTGAATGCTTGACCAGAGATCCGATAAGGCTTGAGATGTGTTTCCTAGCTTAAGGTAGCGAGACGCTTCTCCGTCTTTGTCGCCAATTTCTGTGTTGGTGGTAAGTCCTGTATGAAGATTTTCTTCAGCCTTGCCATATTCTCCTACATATTCAAACAGAGCTCCTAGGTTTCCGTAGCATGACGCTTCTCCCACTCTGTCGCCAATTTCTGTCTTGATGGTAAGTGCTTTATGAAGATATTCTTCAGCCTTGGCATATTCTCCGACAGATGTAAACACATTTCCTAGGTTTCCGTAGCATGACGCTTCTCCGTTTCTGTCGCCAATTTCTGTCTTGATGGTAAGTGCTTTATAAAGACATTCTTCAGCTATGGCGTATTCTCCGACAGAATGAAAAACCTTTCCTAGGTTTCCGTAGCATGACGCTTCTCCGTTTCTGTCGCCAATTTCTGTGTTGATGGTAAGTGCTTTAAAAAGATATTCTCCAGCCTTGGCATATTCTCCGACAGATTGAAACACATTTCCTAGGTTTCCGTAGCATGTCGCTTCTCCGTTTCTGTCGCCAATTTCTGTGTTGATGGTAAGTGCTTTATGAAGATATTCTTCAGCCTTGGCATGTTCACCGACAGATTCAAACACATTTCCTAGGTTTACGTAGCATTTTGCTTCTCCGTTTCTGTCGCCAATTTCTGCGTTGATGGTAAGTGCTTTATCAAGATATTCTTCAGCCTTGGCATATTCTCCGACAGACTGAAACACATTTCCTAGGCTTCTGTAGCATGTCGCTTCTCCGTTTCTGTCGCCAATTTCTGTCTTGATGGTAAGTGCTTTATGAAGATATTCTTCAGCCTTGGCATATTCTCCGACACATAGAAACACATTTCCTAGGCTTACGTAGCATGTCGCTTCTCCGTTTCTGTCGCCAATTTCTGTGTTGATGGTAAGTGCTTTATGAAGATGTTCTTCAGCCTTGGCATATTCTGCGACAGATTTAAACACATTTCCTAATTTTCCGTAGCATGACGCTTCTCCTTTTCTGTCGCCAATTTCTGTCTTGATGGTAAGTGCTTTATGAAGATATTCTTCAGCCTTGGCATATTCTCCGAAAGAATGAAACACATTTCCTAGGTTTCCGTAGCATGTCGCTTCTCCGTGTCTGTCGCCAATTTCTGGGTTGATGGTAAGTGCTTTATAAAGGTATTCTTCAGCCTTGGCATATTCTCCGACAGATTGAAACACATTTCCTAGGCTTCCGTAGCATGTCGCTTCTCCGTTTCTGTCGCCAATTTCTGTGTTGATGGTAAGTGCTTTATGAAGATATTCTTCAGCCTTGGCATATTCTCCGACAGATTGAAACACATTTCCTAGGCTTCCATAGCATGTCGCTTCTCCGTTTCTGTCGCCAATTTCTGTGTTGATGGTAAGTGCTTTATGAAGATATTCTTCAGCCTTGGCATATTCTCCGACAGATTGAAACACAGCTCCTAGGTTTCCGTAGCATGTCGCTTCTCCGTTTCTGTCACCAATTTCTGTATTGATGGTAAGTGCTTTATGAAGATATTCTTCAGCCTTGGCATATTCTCCGACAGATTGAAACACAGCTCCTAGGTTTCCGTAGCATGTCGCTTCTCCGTTTCTGTCACCAATTTCTGTATTGATGGTAAGTGCTTTATGAAGATATTCTTCAGCCTTGGCATATTCTCCGACAGATTGAAACACAGCTCCTAGGTTTCCGTAGCATGTCGCTTCTCCGTTTCTGTCACCAATTTCTGTATTGATGGTAAGTGCTTTATGAAGATATTCTTCAGCCTTGGCATATTCTCCGACAGATTGAAACACAGCTCCTAGGTTTCCGTAGCATGTCGCTTCTCCGTTTCTGTCACCAATTTCTGTATTGATGGTAAGTGCTTTATGAAGATATTCTTCAGCCTTGGCATATTCTCCGACAGATTGAAACACAGCTCCTAGGTTTCCGTAGCATGTCGCTTCTCCGTTTCTGTCACCAATTTCTGTATTGATGGTAAGTGCTTTATGAAGATATTCTTCAGCCTTGGCATATTCTCCGACAGATTGAAACACAGCTCCTAGGTTTCCGTAGCATGTCGCTTCTCCGTTTCTGTCACCAATTTCTGTATTGATGATAAGTGCTTTATGAAGATATTCTTCAGCCTTGGCATATTCTCCGACAGATTGAAACACAGCTCCTAGGTTTCCGTAGCATGTCGCTTCTCCGTTTCTGTCACCAATTTCTGTATTGATGGTAAGTGCTTTATGAAGATATTCTTCAGCCTTGGCATATTCTCCGACAGATTGAAACACATTTCCTTTGCTTCCGTAGCATGTCGCTTCTCCTTTTCTGTCGCCAATTTCTGTCTTGATGGTAAGTGCTTTATGAAGATATTCTTCAGCCTTGGCATGTTCACCGACAGATCTAAACGCAGCTCCCAGGATTGCGTAGCATAATGCTTGTCCGTCTTTGTCTTCGATTTCTTTGTAAACGCAGAGTGCAATTTTGAGGACTGCTTGCGCTTCCTGGTATTCACTTTTTTTGACGTGCAGTGTTGATAACATCACGGCTGTTTCACCTTCTTCTTTTTTTATCCTCAGATTACGAAGTAGGACTAAAAGCTTTTTGCCAGATTCTATAGCTGGTGAAAGTTTCGTAATAGCAGCATTTCCATAAAACAGCCTCTTGTTCAGCGCTATACGCACTATTGTGGCAAGTTCATGTTCGTTTTCTAAGATTTTGTTGTTTAGTAGTGTTAAGCACTCGTTCCACAGCTCGATAGCCTGGACAACTCGTTTAGTGGTCCAAAGAAAATCTGCGGCAATCATGCCATGGTGAATAGCTTCTTGAACAGTGCCCATTTGGGTCTTTTCTGAAACATAAACAGGTAAAAAAAACAAGACCAGAATAATTAGCAAATAGTTCTACGGAAATAGAGTTAATCTTAAATAAAAAAATAAGGAAGCCAGTTAGAAACGTTTATAATAATAAGCTCTTGGCTTAAGAAAAAGCTACGAAAACAATAAGGTTTTCTTCAAAATGTAAAGCTTTTTCTTATACGTAACGACTCTGTGGTCTGGTCAGGTGTCATTTAAAATTGTAAATTAAGCTGATGCTATCGTAGCTGTGATTCCACGAAACATTCTGTTTCGGTTAAATGGACTTACCCAGGAATACAAAGTTACGAAAGATTTCGGTTACCCGGATCGTCAGAATAAAGCTACTTACATTTAAAAGCAGTTAACTTATTGAAGTAAATGATCATGAGTTCTGTTTGTTGAAATCTAAGTCTATAGAACATGTATCTGCATGCAGTCTTGTATTTACAAGAAATCTTTTAGTTTTTAGGTTCCTTTGCATTTTTGAAAAAGGTGGTTTCTCTTGTAGAATTTTAAGTTAGGAACAACTATATTGGAAGAATTAAAAGAACGTCTAAAAGGTTGAAAGGCATATGACAGTACATTAAAATTCCTAATATTGATAAGCTTGCATCATTTCATTAAAAATTCGATAGAGTTTATATTGTAATATTAAGTGGCAAACAATATGTTAGTAATTTAATTGATAAATAAAGTTGGGAATCTCCTCTGAAAGGCTTAGCAGAGCTTGCTGAGATCTCCTGCTCATGTATAGCTACAAATACCAAATGTACATTATATTAGTTTTTACAATAATGCGCGAATAAAATAAAAATACATACCTAATGATTTAAGACTATAAAGAAAACCTATCAGTAGAACGTAAATAATTATGTATAGGAATATATTACAATTAAGTTTAAGAAAGAGGGAACTTTCTATAGATAATTTGGTTTGAAAAGAGGAGGTTATAAACTCGAACGTGGGAAGTCCACAAATTATTTTGAACGCACGAGGAGCTAAGCACTTGCCTTATTATATCTTGCATGAAGATCACATTTCATCGTCGCTTGAGGGTCCTCGGACAGACTCAAGCATATTAAGGCATGGCCTGAGGCTAATTTGCATAAAATCTTATAATGGTCATAACTTTGTGAAAATTTATCAGAACCTTACAAAATTTGGCAACCTCGGATAAAACCGGTAGATATCTGTGTCACGTGACCACTCATTGTCGAGTCCAGGAAAGAAAAGAAAACTAAAAATGGGGTGGCGAAATGCCACACAGTATATATTAAATACAGTATTTATGTTATTGTATCATCATTTCTCGCTTGAATTTGGCCGGAATGGTTGACTCACGTTTTTATTTAAGTGGCTGTCCACTTAAGAGCGGTCCGGCGAGTTTGGGATCGCCAGTAAACCTTCCCTTTGTTTTTTGTGGGTGAAAAGGACTTAATGAGGAATGATTAAAATCGAACTAATTTTTTTCAAAATCCTTTTCTGGGCTTCGCTACAGCACAAAACTTTTTTCCTGTCTGAGGGCGCTTTTTCAACCTTATTCCATGGCCGAAATTCGGTGATTTTAAAAGCCGCGCTTCTTCGTAACGGATAAATATCGCGAAATTCTACATAGTACAATGGATTTAGCTGCAGTTGGCTTGTCCTATGACGGAATATGGAATAACTTGACGCAAAATTAAATTAAATTAATAAAATCAAACACAAGCCCCTTTGCGTTTTTTTTTTTCCCTCTTGACAAATTCTTCCAAAGTAAAAGCTAAAATCTCCAAAGCGGTACAAAAATCACAGGTAAAATGCACTTCACAGCAAACATCTTACCTTATTCTGTCAGAAAATAAAGTCAAAGGTGCGGGTATCGTTCTGGGTTGGACGTGATCAAACGTTTTTAAGAGCCTCTTTTCGGCATTATTTGCATAGATTTGCCCGCTTAACGGTTCACACACAACGACTTTAATTTAGTAGATATTTTCTCAGTAGCTGAGAATGTTGTTGTGTATCCTCAAAATTACCAACATGTGTTTTCTTTTCACTAGCCTTTTTAAGTTGGTATAAATGAAAGCCGAAAAAAATGCCATAAACTGACATTCTTGATCAACCCGTCGGATATGCAAATCGTGCTCGTTTTATAGACAGGTTGTCCATTTCAGCGTGTTAAAATCTCAAACTACGTATGGTTATTAACTTCTTCTCAAATGTAATCAATCTTCAGCTTGGAAACTCAGCAACTGGATACCCTTTTTAAAATAGAAATTTATCTCATATTCCATTTGAGTTTCTTTTTCCGTTTCGAGCATTTGACATGATTTGAATTTGAATTCCCACATCCGTGTTTATCCCTCATTTATGCTCAACACGTCGGATTCTCTCACCTCGGGTGACTTTTCTCGTGTAGCTCTTGAGAAATTATTATGAATCACTTTAAGTTTGGTGAAGGGAACAGGGGTCTTTTTTGCATGAGCATGCGCGACCGCTGACTTGTCAAAGAGCACGCGACTAGTGACAGCGACCGTGCTTAATAGTCATAGGAACCAAATTGTTCACTTTGAAAGCTTGCTTGAGATTGAAATGGTAGCAGGAACTTAGGAAAGACCTTCGTTGTACAAAATAAGTAAAGATCTGTTGATTTAAAGTGGAGACTGATGCGCTGAACGAGGTGAAAGAGCAAGTTTCTCAAGGATGTCTGACACGAACATGGCTGCCTTTTGTTGTTTGGCGCTCGACTCGTGTCTTGATTCCCCTTTAAGAACCGCAAAGTTTGGCATAGAATGCATTGCTGATGCGTAGCTATTGGGCAAAATGTTCTTTATTTAGTGTTTGTCTATAAATCGGATGTAAATCAGTTTCTCGATGCCGTAGAGGATTCCTGTCAATAATTTGTTAATAGCTGATTTAGCCATATTTCGGGAGTGGATTAATAACGATCAGCGGGCGACTACCACGCCGTTTTCAGTTGGAATAGAAAGTTTTTGCCTTAAGTATTTTAGCGATACAAAGTTTGTTTATAGGAAAATTGTAGAACTTCTTGTTTTTGCGTGGACTAACATTGTAACGCATCTTTTACAGGAATTTGCTTTTAGCCAGAACTTAAATGTTCTAATGATTTTTAACTTTTGGTCGGCATCACATGTTTACTGTACTTCTTGGGAAACCTAACCGTTTGTTTCATCAAAATCGGTCACAAGATTGGACTTTAATTTCGGTCCTATTGAATGCAGTTTTGACTGTGTCTCATTGATATTCATTTTTTTTATTGTTCGAGACATACAGAGTGACTACCACCAACATCTCACCAGGTGACTAATCTACGTCTCGTGTGCTCTTAATTTTGTAGCTTTAAAGTGCTGGGAAAATTGTAGAACATATATTAATTCACTGCTGAACTGAACATCGGCTTTCGCGCACTTCGAACCCACTCGCTGAAATTTGCTATGTTTTTTTTTTTAATATTTCTCTTCCCTTCCCATTTCAAAACAAAGAAAACTGAAAGTGTTTACTTGCATCAACAAACGTTTCTGCACTTTGTTTAGACTTTGATGAGGTCAGCGCAATTCTCCAGGCACTACATATACGCGCGCTGTTGTCCAGGTCAGGTGGGGAGATGAAATTTGATAGTAGCTCGTGTATGTTAAAGCCGGTCTCCTTCGCTTTTGTTAAGACCATGTTAGAGATTTTTTTGCAAACTACACATTTTGTTAAATCACGAGCACATTCGCCAAGACCAACGAGCAAAATAATCGCTATGATAGCTTTGAGACGCGCCATTTTGATGAAGGCAAACCCTGTGGTGAGCCTCCATGTACATCGCATGTTCAGCGGTCGCGCATGCTCATACAAAAAAGACCCCTGTTGGTGAAGGGTATGTCTGTTGTAATATTTTTCCGAGTGCGGGTAAGATTGAACGGTTGTCCCATACACGCCTTCAGTCATATGCTAATTTGCATTTTTGTCACGCAATATACCTCCTGTATCGATCCCTTTCTTTGCATAAACAAATAAAGGGTGAACCATTACCTTATTGATAGGGGGCGGGGGGAGGACAAGGACACCGAGATTAAAAAAGAATTTTACAGGGCTGGAAGGATAATATATATTATACATACAACGAAGTGCCAGAGTGGTGTCCTCATCGATTAACGGTTACAATCAAAGATATAGGTAAAACAGAACCGTAAATACTAGGCGTGGCGCGTGGCTCGTTGCGCTGTTTATAATTTGTAAACCTGTAATGTCTACCCTGGACAATAGAAATGAACTAATCTCAGGTTGCAGGCACTCAAGGAAATTTCTACTAAAAACTGTCCTAACTTGGTTAGTTCCTGTCGCAAATTTGACATGTCGTAAGCATCACTTAAGTACGACGCGCCACGCACCTACGCCACGCCTGGCATTTATTGTTTTGTTTTACCTGATGATTCGCCTCGCAAGAGGCATGACTCACTTAGTAGCAATAAATGTTCAAGATATAATCCAGTCCCATCAGTCTACTTCTATTATATACATACATATATACAACTTTATCTAGAAGCCAAAATTAATGCAGCCCCCACCCCCATCAATAATCGAACGGTCCACGCCCAAGAACACGTAAAGTGCCACATTGCTTGTAATTAAATTGATTCATTACCAGACAAAAATCCTAACTCCTATTATATGCCAGGGGCACCCAACGACGGTTTCCTCCTAAATGCATTGAGAACACTTTTTAGGCTATCCAGGGTACTTTTAGATCTCCAGAAATGTATTCCAAGTGGCGCTAAAAAGACTTTTATCTGTTGGGTCATACTAGGGCAACCGTGAGTCTTTTTTCCCGAAAATTTTAGCTGCAATTTAAAATTTTACGAAAGTGAGGATTTTTCTGATTCCTTTCTGTATCGCATTTTCGGTTCCGAGAATTTTAGGTTTCCTTTCTCTACCAAAAACAGCTTAACCTGGGGTGTGAAATAGGAAAAATTAAACTTCAGAAAATCGTAGGGAATTTATTAGATTAGCTTCAAAAATTGTACATGCGTGGAACGGTCATCTAATAAATTTATAGTCTTCCTCAAGCTACAGAAAATTCTGGGCAATTTTGCTTCTCCGAACAGATATTTCACAGAAATGGATATCGGCATTCTGTGCGGCCAGTTGGATTACCCCAGTCCTTCCCTAGGTTCGCACGATGTATCGGACATACAAACATTTTTTCACTTTGTTGGGCAGTTTTACCAAAATACCCAGCCCGCTGCAAAGTAAGTTCAGGGGCACCCAATGAAAATTTTCGGAAGAATATCTGCTCGGAAGACGATTTGAGATCTAGAATTTTCGAAACATTTGTTGTAAAATTTCTTGCTTGCCTGCCTCTCCTAGGATTTTCGAACATCCAAAAAATGGTATATTTGCCTATTTTTAACGGATTTTTTTTATCAGAACCTTACAAAATTTGGCAACCTCGGATAAAACCGGTAGATATCTGTGTCACGTGACCACTCATTGTCGAGTCCAGGAAAGAAAAGAAAACTAAAAATGGGGTGGCGAAATGCCACACAGTATATATTAAATACAGTATTTATGTTATTGTATCATCATTTCTCGCTTGAATTTGGCCGGAATGGTTGACTCACGTTTTTATTTAAGTGGCTGTCCACTTAAGAGCGGTCCGGCGAGTTTGGGATCGCCAGTAAACCTTCCCTTTGTTTTTTGTGGGTGAAAAGGACTTAATGAGGAATGATTAAAATCGAACTAATTTTTTTCAAAATCCTTTTCTGGGCTTCGCTACAGCACAAAACTTTTTTCCTGTCTGAGGGCGCTTTTTCAACCTTATTCCATGGCCGAAATTCGGTGATTTTAAAAGCCGCGCTTCTTCGTAACGGATAAATATCGCGAAATTCTACATAGTACAATGGATTTAGCTGCAGTTGGCTTGTCCTATGACGGAATATGGAATAACTTGACGCAAAATTAAATTAAATTAATAAAATCAAACACAAGCCCCTTTGCGTTTTTTTTTTTCCCTCTTGACAAATTCTTCCAAAGTAAAAGCTAAAATCTCCAAAGCGGTACAAAAATCACAGGTAAAATGCACTTCACAGCAAACATCTTACCTTATTCTGTCAGAAAATAAAGTCAAAGGTGCGGGTATCGTTCTGGGTTGGACGTGATCAAACGTTTTTAAGAGCCTCTTTTCGGCATTATTTGCATAGATTTGCCCGCTTAACGGTTCACACACAACGACTTTAATTTAGTAGATATTTTCTCAGTAGCTGAGAATGTTGTTGTGTATCCTCAAAATTACCAACATGTGTTTTCTTTTCACTAGCCTTTTTAAGTTGGTATAAATGAAAGCCGAAAAAAATGCCATAAACTGACATTCTTGATCAACCCGTCGGATATGCAAATCGTGCTCGTTTTATAGACAGGTTGTCCATTTCAGCGTGTTAAAATCTCAAACTACGTATGGTTATTAACTTCTTCTCAAATGTAATCAATCTTCAGCTTGGAAACTCAGCAACTGGATACCCTTTTTAAAATAGAAATTTATCTCATATTCCATTTGAGTTTCTTTTTCCGTTTCGAGCATTTGACATGATTTGAATTTGAATTCCCACATCCGTGTTTATCCCTCATTTATGCTCAACACGTCGGATTCTCTCACCTCGGGTGACTTTTCTCGTGTAGCTCTTGAGAAATTATTATGAATCACTTTAAGTTTGGTGAAGGGAACAGGGGTCTTTTTTGCATGAGCATGCGCGACCGCTGACTTGTCAAAGAGCACGCGACTAGTGACAGCGACCGTGCTTAATAGTCATAGGAACCAAATTGTTCACTTTGAAAGCTTGCTTGAGATTGAAATGGTAGCAGGAACTTAGGAAAGACCTTCGTTGTACAAAATAAGTAAAGATCTGTTGATCTAAAGTGGAGACTGATGCGCTGAACGAGGTGAAAGAGCAAGTTTCTCAAGGATGTCTGACACGAACATGGCTGCCTTTTGTTGTTTGGCGCTCAACTCGTGTCTTGATTCCCCTTTAAGAACCGCAAAGTTTGGCATAGAATGCATTGCTGATGCGTAGCTATTGGGCAAAATGTTCTTTATTTAGTGTTTGTCTATAAATCGGATGTAAATCAGTTTCTCGATGCCGTAGAGGATTCCTGTCAATAATTTGTTAATAGCTGATTTAGCCATATTTCGGAAGTGGATTAATAACGATCAGCGGGCGACTACCACGCCGTTTTCAGTTGAAATAGAAAGTTTTTGCCTTAAGTATTTTAGCGATACAAAGTTTGTTTACAGGAAAATTGTAGAACTTCTTGTTTTTGCGTGGACTAACATTGTAACGCATCTTTTACAGGAATTTGCTTTTAGCCAGAACTTAAATGTTCTAATGATTTTTAACTTTTGGTCGGCATTACATGTTTACTGTACTTCTTGGGAAACCTGACCGTTTGTTTCATCAAAATCGGTCACAAGATTGGACTTTAATTTCGGTCCTATTGAATGCAGTTTTGACTGTGTCTCATTGATATTCATTTTTTTTTATTGTTCGACACATACAGAGTGACTACCACCAACATCTCACCAGGTGACTAATATATGTCTCGTGTGCTCTTAATTTTGTAGCTTTAAAGTGTTGGGAAAATTGTAGAACATATATTAATTTACTGCTGAACTGAACATCGGCTTTCGCGCACTTCGAACCCACTCGCTGAAATTTGCTATGTTTTTTTTTTTTTTAATATTTCTCTTCCCTTCCCATTTCAAAACAAAGAAAACTGAAAGTGTTTACTTGCATCAACAAACGTTTCTGCACTTTGTTTAGACTTTGATGAGGTCAGCGCAATTCTCCAGGCACTACATATACGCGCGCTGTTGTCCAGGTCAGGTGGGGAGATGAAATTTGATAGTAGCTCGTGTATGTTAAAGCCGGTCTCCTTCGCTTTTGTTAAGACCATGTTAGAGATTTTTTTGCAAACTACACATTTTGTTAAATCACGAGCACATTCGCCAAGACCAACGAGCAAAATAATCGCTATGATAGCTTTGAGACGCGCCATTTTGATGAAGGCAAACCCTGTGGTGAGCCTCCATGTACATCGCATGTTCAGCGGTCGCGCATGCTCATACAAAAAAGACCCCTGTTGGTGAAGGGTATGTCTGTTGTAATATTTTTCCGAGTGCGGGTAAGATTGAACGGTTGTCCCATACACGCCTTCAGTCATATGCTAATTTGCATTTTTGTCACGCAATATACCTCCTGTATCGATCCCTTTCTTTGCATAAACAAATAAAGGGTGAACCATTACCTTATTGATAGGGGGCGGGGGGAGGACAAGGACACCGAGATTAAAAAAGAATTTTACAGGGCTGGAAGGATAATATATATTATACATACAACGAAGTGCCAGAGTGGTGTCCTCATCGATTAACGGTTACAATCAAAGATATAGGTAAAACAGAACCGTAAATACTAGGCGTGGCGCGTGGCTCGTTGCGCTGTTTATAATTTGTAAACCTGTAATGTCTACCCTGGACAATAGAAATGAACTAATCTCAGGTTGCAGGCACTCAAGGAAATTTCTACTAAAAACTGTCCTAACTTGGTTAGTTCCTGTCGCAAATTTGACATGTCGTAAGCATCACTTAAGTACGACGCGCCACGCACCTACGCCACGCCTGGCATTTATTGTTTTGTTTTACCTGATGATTCGCCTCGCAAGAGGCATGACTCACTTAGTAGCAATAAATGTTCAAGATATAATCCAGTCCCATCAGTCTACTTCTATTATATACATACATATATACAACTTTATCTAGAAGCCAAAATTAATGCAGCCCCCACCCCCATCAATAATCGAACGGTCCACGCCCAAGAACACGTAAAGTGCCACATTGCTTGTAATTAAATTGATTCATTACCAGACAAAAATCCTAACTCCTATTATATGCCAGGGGCACCCAACGACGGTTTCCTCCTAAATGCATTGAGAACACTTTTTAGGCTATCCAGGGTACTTTTAGATCTCCAGAAATGTATTCCAAGTGGCGCTAAAAAGACTTTTATCTGTTGGGTCATACTAGGGCAACCGTGAGTCTTTTTTCCCGAAAATTTTAGCTGCAATTTAAAATTTTACGAAAGTGAGGATTTTTCTGATTCCTTTCTGTATCGCATTTTCGGTTCCGAGAATTTTAGGTTTCCTTTCTCTACCAAAAACAGCTTAACCTGGGGTGTGAAATAGGAAAAATTAAACTTCAGAAAATCGTAGGGAATTTATTAGATTAGCTTCAAAAATTGTACATGCGTGGAACGGTCATCTAATAAATTTATAGTCTTCCTCAAGCTACAGAAAATTCTGGGCAATTTTGCTTCTCCGAACAGATATTTCACAGAAATGGATATCGGCATTCTGTGCGGCCAGTTGGATTACCCCAGTCCTTCCCTAGGTTCGCACGATGTATCGGACATACAAACATTTTTTCACTTTGTTGGGCAGTTTTACCAAAATACCCAGCCCGCTGCAAAGTAAGTTCAGGGGCACCCAATGAAAATTTTCGGAAGAATATCTGCTCGGAAGACGATTTGAGATCTAGAATTTTCGAAACATTTGTTGTAAAATTTCTTGCTTGCCTGCCTCTCCTAGGATTTTCGAACATCCAAAAAATGGTATATTTGCCTATTTTTAACGGATTTTCACCCTAAAAAGGCCACCTAGAATTTGCGGAAGCCTTTTTTCTGGCTGAAATTTTCGAAAAGGTAAGTTTTGATCCCTATAATTTTAGGATCACTAGGAAATCCGAACAGATGAAAAATTTTTAGGGGATAAAAATATGCCTATATCTACCGTTTAAATACTAAAATACGTTTAACAGTGCTATGTTTAAGTGGTTTTGAACTATATTCTCGTTGGGTGCCCCTGTAAGTTCGCTCTCTCAGTGTAATTTTTTCTTTCGTTAAGTGACATCGCCTCGAATCGAGCCGTAATAACGCTCACCTGTTACATTGACTAAGAGGCACCAACCTGCTTTCTCCTTCCGCTTTCATTGCGTGACAACAATCCTAATTAACATATGACCATGGCGAAAACCCAAAAGGAAATTGAGCTGAATTCAGTCTTAATTAAAGAACCTTTTAGTTGCTGACACTCCAAACCCATTCCATTTTTTAATTTGTTTTTGAATATCATTATGACGTCACGTTTAACGTGACTACATCACTTTAACCCTTACTAATTCAACACCTCGAAAGAAAGTTTCTCGAAAGAGTTTTGCAACTTTTAGAATTAAAATGCGTGGCCGTAGAAGAAAAACAAGTTTATCTTCGCGGGGAGGTCGAGACCAAAAATTGAGCCATGCCTTAACATGCTTGAGGAGTTTGTGATTGGGGGTTACAACTGCAAAAGTATCTAATTGCGTCACGAGCTGCTAACGACTGACTAGTCTAGTCTTAAGATTTAGAAAAATCTGATTCAGTTCTTAGTACGCATCCTAAACTCAGGTTGCCTGAAAGATTCAAGTGAAGTAACAGAGACGAAATTGTTCGTGTGTAAATGTTACAAAATCGCTCCTTAAGGGGAAATGTAATATAAACACCAGATCCCCGTTGTTGCTCTCTATCGGATAAATCAATATCCAGCGGAGAAAAACAATCGCATTATCCCCGTTGATAGAGATTTCTGCAGTTGATAGCGCTATCCACCTTTTGAACAACCAGGGCCAGCTCTGTTTTCATGTACCAACACGTAACACTTAACTTAATTCCGAAGGAGCTTAAATCAAATGTTCCTTTATTCCACCGTCAGTAATTATCGTTATTATCTGGGATAACTCATTCGGAAGGCCGTCTCAGCTCAAAGTCGGTTGTAACGTCAAGTTGTTGTGTTTGCGTCTCTCATCATTGTGGTACCTTCTCTTCCTCTACCACAGGCAGAGTATTACCATCCTGGTCGCGCGCTTTTCCAGGTGCAGGTACCCCAGGGCCTCTTTCAGCTCCACTTTAGTAGGTTCACTCTCCAGGTCCTCCAAAACAGGTAAGCAATCTATGGCGTTCAGTGCTTCCAAAGACGCCATATTTTCTCTGGCAGACAGCTCAGAGTAATCAGGCTCTACCCAGCGCTCCATCTGTTGCGTTCGGTCCTGGATTATCTCGTCTGTAGCAAAATTTAAGGGGGCTGTTTTTTTCTGAGAAGGACCAAGTGTCTGCTTGATTTCATCATACATATGGCCTTGATAATAGCTGTCTCAACAGCAGAATGAATACTAGCACAGATTTCAGGCTAGTAGTCATTTGCATTGGGTCTGTTGCATCGTTGCACATGACTACGTGCTGCCTCTAGAGCCTGTAGACAGTTTGTTCACTTGGGCAGGTCTTTTATCCAGTTATCACTTTTCTCTTTTCTTCTATTGCAGATTTGTTTTTCTTCTTAACGAAGTTGGGCATGGCTGATCCATGGACTGCATCCCTGAAGTAATCCAATCTTTCTTGGACTTTTCCAATAGAGAGGCTAGGAGAGAGATTTCTCAAGCGTAGTTATCAACTCCTCCACTTTCTGTCCATCGCGAGTCTTGCTGACGTGAAGGCATGGTTTTCACACAGACTTTGTGTGGTAGATTCTCTTTGCTTATAGTTTCACTTTGCTCTACACCAGGGAATGGCCAGTCTCACCTTCTGCGCTGTGAAGGCTACGTGTAAGCTTGATGCAAGATAGGATAGCTCGCCTTGTGAGGATGTATTCGAGATGATGCCAATGTTTTGGGTAAGGTGAATCGAACATCCCCTTGTGCGATCAGATGCTGGAATCGTCCGAGTTAAAATGATGCCCAAGAGGTTAAAAGCACTAAGTGGTGTGGTCAGAGGAGGGTGATGGGTCCTTTTAATGTGTATGCAGGCGTCTGTCGT